TTACCTTAATGAATTTAGACGTCCGTTGTTACTACGCATACTTCATTTCACATGTAATTGTTTGGAAATTTAATCGATAGATGTCTTGGCATGTCAGGTGCACTTTTTCCAAAAGAGTATCACTTATAAAAACCTTATTTTTTACGTTTTTCTAAAAACTGGTCAACTACTGGTACCTTTACCTTACGGTTTGCTATGGAATTTTGCACCGAAGCATTTATATTGTGGAGTAAAAGCAATACAATTTACTAATTTCTTAGCTGTAGCTAGTTGTAACGAAAGCTACCCAGCTATTCTCAAAATTTTCGAGACGATAGGCATAGTGATTGGTCATGTTGCTTTGAATTTTGCAATGAAACGCGTGACTAACCGAATTTTGGTCGCCGAAAAAAGGCACTCGTAGAAATGAAAATTTGGCCTTAAATTCTTTTTATGACGACGAGGAAGGCGTAGGTGCTGTAATAGCAGATTAGTAACTAGGGTATTAATAATGTGGTATTTCGCTTTTTATGTAGTCTTAAACTGTAATTAAAACTTTAAACGCATTTTTCTCGAAACAGCATTTTTTCAAAACGGCTAACATGATTGTCAAAAAACTAGGAGTCCGACTCACTCCAAATTTGTGTCAGGTATATTTAGTAGATTGTTGCTTTATAGTTTGAACTAGAATTGTGCAAATACTTTCAAAATTCAGTTTGTGAGGTCTAAAAAATCATTTTGTTTGCCATTTCTTTATTTCTCAATATTCTTTTATTATTCTAGTTCGGACGATAGCCGCACGTCTACAGATTAAGAATGCGTTTGCATTTTGTATTTTGGATGACTACAACGTCTGATATCGTGTCAGCCATCCGAAAGGATATTTTTCAAGGCGCTCTCTTCACGGCGGTCCTATTTTACAACAAATGGATATTTTCACTTACAAAAAATATTTTTCTGTTCTTAAAAGATGATAGAGTAAATATAAAAATTTGCAGAAGGACACGTGTAGCACTTGCTTTCTTTTAAATTCCCGAAGAATTGAGTTTTTTTCAGCCGTTACAGTAGGAAGACCCCTTAAGAGGGTGATTCTGGTTGTTTCAGGGTCTGTTTCGTCTGACTTTAGTGTAGTTATAGTCAAGGTACAGATTTTAAAGCAACAATCCGTACATTTTCTAACAATCGGTAAAGAATACAATGTTTCACTAACAATAAAATTCAGCGTAGCTCGCTGTGTGACTGTCCACGTTCTGGAGCACAGAATCGTGATAATATAAAGGTGCGAAACGTTGCAAAAACCGACGAGAATAATAGCACGCTGGAGCGGCAGCGGTATTGAAGACTTTGCGATGACTGTGAACTGGCGATGTTTCCAAGACGGTGAATTCGTCCGCCGCGTACAGTCGCTCGTCTTTTATACCCCGCCGAGGGACCGCCACCGACGATCTGGATTGGGGGTTTTCAAAAAGATCGAGCCAACGGATCTGTACGATGCTCGACTCGTGAACGAGACTGGTTTCAGCTCGAACTCGGTTAGTATCGTTGCGCTCCCGATGTGTTAATCCCGGAATTGTCTTGTCCTCTCCGTAAGAATATTTTTCAACTCGTTTATTTGTGGTGGTGCGTGGGTATATATTAGGTCGGTGTACGTTGAAGGTGGTGGAAAAGAAGGTCTCGACAAATGCGGAGGTGTGATTGGATATTAGGAAACTAGCGGAAGGAGAACGCGAGGGTGAAGGTGGTGTGCAAAAGTTGAAATAATTTGGGGAAAAGGGGAAAGGGATAGGAAACATGACCAGGATGCGACTTGAACTGCTTTATGATAGGGAAGGAATTTGTTAGGGGCTAGGAAGACGGCTGGAAAGGACTGTTTATTAATTTATGATGTGTTACTGGCCGGTGGGCTGCGCGACCGGACAGGATCGATCATCGGTGAACGATCGCTCGGCGAGGCTATTACCCTGATGACGTATGGATTGTCAATCAGAGTGAGACGAAGCGATAGAGTTCATTGGCCCGCGGTGACAGTTGGCGGAGTCTAGCCCAGACCCAAACATTCGGCTTCGTGTTTGAGTGAACGCGTGTGCCCGGGGATTAGTTTTTGCCGGAGTCGTTGGGCTCCGGCAAAAACTCTCGCCGGCAACCGTCACCGCGTTCAATTTATAATATTGCTTTTGCAACAGAAAGATTCAAGCGTGTAGAATAAAACGTGGCAAGAATTTTTTTAGAAATTAACAAAATTGGAGAGCTCGCGCAGGTTTGAAGAGATCCGTGCCCTGTACTCGGATTTAAATTATAGCGAATATCTCGAATACTGATAGTCTTACTGATTTGAAATTTCTACAGAATGTTTATGTATGTAATTTCTCTATTGCGTTTTTGTTTCTTATTTGCGCTTCTTTTTAGTGAAACAAGTTTGAAGAGATCAGTGCATCCTGTACATACAGATTGAGCTAATTCTGATCTAACTTCGAATACCAATAGTTTCATTGATTTTGCACATGAGTAGCTTCTTTATTGTGTTAATTATTTTGGTAATTTTATCTGGTTTGTAAGAGAGGGAAAAAATTGTTGAAAACATGAAATACTTACGCCAAGAGGGTGCCTTTCGTAGCAGGTATAAACTCTTCCCGGTCCAGGCCGCCAGCGTCGTCAAATAAGTCGAAACTGACGCTGAAGTACTCGCTGCTGGACACCTGAAAAATATATCCCAGACTTGTTGAAAATTATCTAATTGTTCTGCAAGTTTCTAGAACTACCGTTAGCCCTGTTTGACTAAGAGTTTCGAGTCTGGGTGTCTAACTTTGAATTACATCCGCGTATTACGTAAATGTCCAGGTCAAATTTCACGAAATTGGAAGGGGACCAGGAAACTATTCGACTGTTGCAACCTCGTTGCCAAGTGTTTTTGCAAATTCAGTTTTCTCACAGCATTTTAAGCAGTAAAGAGGGAACATTTTCTCACTCTTTGAAGCTCTCGAATAGGGAATATTCGAGACATCGTACAACCTGCGTTTCACAAGCTATGTCACAGGCCATGTCCGCTAGGCAAATTCTGCAATTTCAAGTAAATGATAAACCATGCAACTCCACGTGCACCTCACGGAAATCGTCGAGACGTGGAGCTGTTTTATTATGGTCGACAGTGACAGGCAATAAAGTACAAAAGGTCCTTTATTTATGAGCCAGTGCTGGTTGCCACATACAGCATGGATCGCCACGATCTTTCCTATGTCACTTAGCTTTAAAATCGTTCCTTTTATTGCCGCTCGTATTTTTCTCATTGCCGTTTAACCGATACTCGCCCCTTTTCCTTTCTTTTCCCTTCGACTCGGGTTGCGAAAGGTCTCAACAGCTTTTTCCCTCTACCCTCGTTGAAATACTGTGACCGTGTATTTTTGCTTCTTCGGGCGATATTCTCTCTCCTCTAACATTCGTCTCCTACGGATTTCCTACTCTTCTTTCGAGCGTACAGCGGATACGAGCTAAATATTTGATCGAACAATTGCAACGAACGTTCCCTCGAAAATTTTTCTCATCAGACACGATTCTGTTGGCCTCTGGATGTTTAATTGATGCGCCTGAGTGAGAAACTTTCTCCATTTACCGCTGGAATCTAATAGATATGAACTGTCGGAGTAGAACTAGGCTGCAAGAGGTTCGCCAAGTAGAACAGTAGCACGAATGGTCAGACGGGAAGAATGAACCCGCGTGGTGGAGTCAATTTTGCAGAATGACGCCACTTTCAGCGGTGTGGCTCAATGCAGAATAGCTCAGGGAAAAACGTGTGCAACGATGGGCCGGGTGCAAAAACAGTCGTTTTCACCGTTGCACTTCACTTTTTACCGGCGTTTTAATTATCGCGAGCTTTCGCGAGGCGACTCCCCATGAAATTGCGGGGATTTTTGGAAAATGTTAATCGAGCGAAAGGATGGAAGTGATAGAGGATTATGAGAGGAACGCGGTAATAAACTTATTAAGCTTCGGACAGCGGATAGCGTGATAGTCGCACGCACGCCGGGTGCCGGGTCAAATATGACCCAATACTAAAATCGTTTTCGTACATGAGCGAATCCGCATTTTTGTATTCTACTAAGCGCTATATTGTTTAAAATGATACAAATATATTGTAATTAAACTAAAAACACATATTTACAATATGAATCTTAAAGCTGGATCAAAGGTGACCCGGCATCCGCCGTCCGAAAGGTTAATACATTATAGTCATACGTAACGAGTACGTATTACATGTGGTGAAGAAATGTAATTTAACCCTTTAACTACAGACCGCTCATCTCAGAGACTAGTCCAAATTTTAATTTCACGATCACAATTATATATATGAAGAATTTTAGAAGCTCTAGCGTTAGACTAGCTTTAATTGACAGCAGGTTGTACACTATTTCCATAGAAAAAATGTAAACTTTTTATATAATATTATAAGCATACTGTTTTAACGTATTGACAGTACGCATGGATATGGCCTCAGTTCCCGCACATTATAATAAATGCACGAGTACATTTAAAAGAGTGTTAAGAGTTAATCAACACCCTTTTTCTTTTATTTATTTATTTAGTTGTCGATTCACATCTCCCGTCATCAGCGCTTGAAAAATAAAAGACGTCGATTCACGTCTTCCGTCAACAACGTGTTAATAAAATATTGCAAGAAAACCTTAACAAACAACGTACGTATATATATCATTAAATAAAATAGTTACATACAATTGATTTTTACAACACAGTGATTTAATAAATAAAATTGTCAAAGTAGGTTTGTAGTCGAGAGTTGAATTACATAATAGTTTCTGTAAAGAGCATACCGGGTGTCTAAATACATACGAACGGCAGTGTAGATTGTTTCCTTCACCTGGAACATTTTCCCGCCTACTCTAGGACAAAATGCTTCGTTACCGGTGTCGTTCGAATTCGACAGCCTCGCCTGATGGAATTTTTATTCCCTCGTCGAATTTTTCATGGCGTACGGTCGTCGAATCGAGGGATTCGGCCTCGGACACGGCCGAAACTTAAATCCAAGCGAATCGATAATCGTGAGCCGGGGATAGAGGTAGAGAGAGAGAGAGAGAGAGAGAGAAGAGTTTCGTTTGCATGATATCGATTCGAGCGGGGCCAAGGGACTCCTTTGCCAATCCTGCTGATATAATTCCACTTTCACATGATAAGAATAAACGCTTCGTCCGTGATAGAACTGCACACGCGTTCGTTACGTCTTGTGAAAGCAGTTTCTTTCAAAAATTCCTCTTGTAAGTGGAACACGGTAAACGGGGCCAGTCGTTGGAAAATTGTTCATCGACGAAGTCGAAGTCGCAGGTTTCATCGGTTCAAATCGATCATCCCTTTTTTGCCACTCCCTTCTTGCTCCACTTTCAACGCTCGTCTTCCTTCTTCGACAGCTTTATACACTCAAATGTACCGAGTTACCGTGTTCCTATTTTCTTTCAGTTCGTAAAAGCAGTGAAAAAATGTTGCACGTAGGAGAGGTGGAGAAAAGGGGAAAACCGTTTGCAATCATTGCACGAGCAAAACAGAGGCATTTTCATAGGTTGAAATGCAATTTCGTTCACGCGGTACGATTTATCCCCCGGTTGGCTTACATAATTAGAGAATGGGGAATGGCAGTTGTTCAACATGCAACACACGCCTTTGATATCGATTCCCCCCTTTTCTCTTTTCTCTCTCTCTCTCTCTGCGCGACTCGCGAAAACGCCGAAACGACGTCGAAGCGGCGCGTCGCGACGGCTCAAGTGCTCCAATTTTTCCTCGCAAGCTGACCGAGTTTTCCGATATTTCTTCCCTTAGGACGGGGCTCTAATAAACGGACAACGGCTGTGCCCGCGTTTGCATAATATACCGCGACCTTTTTGTTCGCCGGAGTGACGACCACAGCCTCTTTCTTTGATCAAATCCACAGGTACTTAATAATGGAGCCGTGGAAAGAGCGTCTGGCCTCTCAGAGAAGGAATTTCGGGAGAAAAATGGAAGAAACTCGATGGGGAACGTCAGGCATAGAGAAGGAGCGAAAATTAATTCTCTCACGGATGAATTTTTAGAAACACGGAGGAATTAGAGTGTCCAGGAAAGGTGAACGAAATTTTTTAGTCACAAGTTCTCCACTATTCTGGTGCTTTTCTGCCTAAAATTTATGCTCGGAAAAGTTCATAGCATTTGCGGTGGTAGGAGTAAAAAGTTTCACTCTCACACACAAAGTTCGAAATGAAAAAAAAAAAGAATAAAGAAAGAAGAAATTTTTGCCTGAAATAGAATGAAAAAGAAAATGTCACCCTGAAACTCTGGAAATAAAGAAAAAATGAAATAGGGAAAGCTGAGGACAGGAAAGAGGTGAATATGAATTCTTTCACGAATGAATTTTCAGAAATACAGAGGAATTATAGAGTCGAGAAGAAGGAAGTAAGGTTTTCTACTAATCTGGTGCTTTCTACCCTAAAATAAAAGCTTGGAAAATTTCGTAATACTTCGCAATCTGTGGTAGGTGAACAAAGTTTCACTGTGAAACTTTAAAAATCGAGGAGAAGGTACAAGAATGAAACGTTGTCCCTGCAAATTTTCTCACTTTCAAAGGGATTAAAGATAACATTCCATTCCAACCGCTCTAACGCTCGTTCAGCAAGCAAATTCCATTGCACGGGAAGCTCGACGAGTCGCGCGAACAATCGTTCGTTTCATTCGACCAAACATGGAAACAGGGAGGCGCAGTGAAACGTTTGCACCGAATTCTCTTGGTTGAAGACCAGTTTGTCGAGCGCTTCAGCGAGATCGCCTCTCTGACCAGACGGGATTACAGTGGACGCAGGCGAGTGGCAGGTGTTTGGGGGCGATTGGTCGCTTAGCAATTCAAATGGCGGCTCCTTCTAGGCGACGAGCTCCTGTCCCGCTCGTTAACTCCAATGGAAACGATAAAATGTCTGGCAAGGTGTTTCACGAACGCGTATAATGCCAACGATTACAAGGCATTTGCGTCAGTGACGAGAGTGTTTCGTTTCGTTTCGTTTCGTTTCGTTTCGTTTCGTTTCGTTTCGCCTGGAATTAATTACCCCACCGCTCTACGCCCCTTAATTCTCTTCTTCTTCTTTTTCTGGCGTGTACCTCTCAAGGACAACCAAGGTGATTTCACCAAATTGCCCCTTTGTCTCGTGTTCATTTGTATTCAATTTTCTTGCGCACAGGTTTGCCCGCGGAATATCTGTTTGGACCGGTTCCAGGATGCTTCAGAAAACGATAGAGAGATTGGAAGATTCCAAGTGACTAGTGCTTAGGTTTCTTTTTATGTTTCACGGAATAGTGATGCACTTTGTTGGTGAAAAAGTTTAGAATTATTTGGCAATTGGATGAGCGTGCAATTCTTTTTTATGTTGTTTTATGGAATAGCGATGCACGTTGTTGGTGTAAAGATTTGGAAATATTAAGGATTTTTAGATGACGTTGAGCAAAAGATTTTTACCACCGTATAAAATTCTATCGCAGATGTAAGATAGAGACGAGTGATTGTAAGTTGTTAGGTTAGGTCACGACAATTTCCTGCGATGTATCTTAAAAATCAGATCGCGGAGGAAATTTCAATAATTCAATTGGAAACTTGGAATAAAATCAGTCTTCTTTCATTTCCTTCTCTAACGATTTTACGTACTTTGTCTTACAGATCGTACCATTGCTATGGAAAATTGGAAATGAAGACCCCCTTTCCTTCGTTTTACTATGTTTCAATTACTATTTTATGGCACGCTGTATCAGTCAGCCGGTACTTCTTGATTTAAATAGAATCGAATCGTAACTGTCGAATTGGCAGCAATTCCAAGAGTCACGGAACACGTTACTCCGTATAACAAGATCTTTCGTTATTCCGTCCTGGTTTTCCCATGTAGCCGTAAAAGAGATCCGGCGGAAATGTCGGCGTGCTCCGGCTAAAAGCTTTAAAGGATCGAATGTAAGTCTTTTCGGCTTTTCACGCCGCCTGGCTTTCTCACGTTTTTCATTCTCCTTTTTTTACAAGCACCGTGGAATAGAAGGTGGATCCTCGGACCGTCTCCGATTCTCCACCTTTCTTCCCTGTGTCTTATCATAATAAATCTCCTTGAACCGCTTGAACTTCTTATTTATAGCCTTCTGTTCCTCGTTTCGCCCCCCTCGCGAATCAATCAAACGCTTCACGAATCTTCCTCTTATTTGCTCGAAATATTCATGAAGACTGTTCGTAAGCGATAATAGAACAATACTTCGTTCGTTAATTTCCTTTAGCTACGGCTGATTTGACTTCGTCGGAAGTTTCATTTGCATGGACTACTTCGAGAAGTTCTCAGTAGTATAGGCATTCTTCTAGTCAGACACTAAGATTAATTTCTCGTCCGGCATGTACACCGGGATTGTTTGCTGTTATTGATCGGACGGGGAAACAACACGGACGGAACGCAAAGGTTACATAAGCCCGCGATACCCCTAAAATTGGGACACCTTTTAATTGTTGAATGAAACCCGAATTAAAAGGAACCCGCCCCTCGCGTTTCACGGTTTCCATTGTCTGCTCAGCTTTATTATAAAAATGTATATTCAACGTAGCTTCGGAATTATAAATATTGCTGTGGTGACAAACACGTACGTACTTCTTTCGGAATATCTAGGTACGAAAATTTTCAAATCGATTCGCAAAATTACGGCTGCTAATTTTCCACGATTTTAGAAAATCAAAGATAAAAATCTATATAAATTGATGTTTAATCGAATGATTTTGGTTTCTCACTAACCTGAGACCGGGACAGCTTATGCCTGGTGCGGTTTTGATGGCCACCCTCAATGGACGGTGCGTTGGGCACCAGGAAACGCGGGTTACTCTCGACATTTTGGGGGTGGTGCTGCAATTGCTGAGGTTGATAATGGTGGTGAAGATGATGGGGTTGCTGTTGTGAGGGACCACCCCCCAGATGGTGCTCCCCCGTGTCCAGCATGTTGCTGCCCAGAGCGTCCAGCTGGGTCAACGACCTCGAACGCACCTAGAAAAAATCAAAATTCCATCCTGGTTATAAAAAATATTTCCCATGAGAAATATTCGGATATACTACTGAATAACATTTGAAATACAACAAATATACAGGAAGAGTTTTTCAAATTTAAACTATTGCCAGTTGATTGAAAAAAATATTGGTATACATAAGAAGAAATGTGGCTGTTGACTGAAGCAGCGTACGTGAAAGTAGAACAGGTCCGCATTCGATCAGATCGAATGTAAGTAGAATACTGGCGTGTGTGACCGAGCAAACAAGAACAGGAAGGAGCAATATTTGTACGGAGAAATGAAAATTGGGTCGCATGTGTATTATGCTATCCTTCGTGCTATCAGAAGAAACCTGTATCGAAGTAACCTAACAAGGGAACAACCCGAAGTGATAATCACAAATATTGCTGTAACTTTGGTGTATGGTAATACTGAAAAAGTATTTGACACGTACTTTTTTTTTTGGCAATCGTCTACGTTGAAGGGGTGAAAATGCCTTCAAAGATGTGTGTAACAAACGTACTTGGTCAAAATTATTTATTATATTTTATTTTTCACACTTATCGTTGAAAAATAGAAAATTCGGTTTTCGAGATATTAGATTAAATATGTATACTAGCTCCAACTTTCACAACGATTATCACCCCTTCGAATATTTGTCGAATGTCGAATATTTTTTCAAGAAAATCCCTCCCCCGTAAGACCACACACGTCTTGAGTATTATCGAACAATTAAAAGAGGAAAAAGAAAAACACGTATAAAAAAAAAGGGAAAAACATTCGTGTTAGAGAAGCAGGTCAGCGAGGGTGATCGATCAGTAGAACGGTATCGATCATCCCTCTCGAGACCCTTCGTTATCTCGATCCATCCATTCTTTCGTGCTTTTATCTAAACCTTTTTTCTTCGTTCATCCACTCCTACCCCCCGACTTTCTCTCTCACGATCGACCTGTCCCGTTGATTTCATCGTGTTCCCAGCAGCACTCGCGGTGAATCACCGACAAAACCGACGCGGGAAAGATGTTAATGGTCCCGTCGGCATATAACGATCCGATATTGATTTCATCGTTTCAGCGAAAACGCGAGCGCTAAGTGCTGCTACGTACAGCTTCAAGTCTCGAAATGGCCATTGGAAATGATGCTGCCCACTACTATCCAACAACCATCGACACTCGTCCAGGGAATCGAACGGCGCGGCTTGGGGAACATTTTAAACGGTATCAAATGTCGAACGATCTTTCTTTGCTAAGAAAATATCTTTCACCGTTCTAGGATATTACCTAAGGAATATCGTCGATTCTTTTTTCAATCATTGAAACTTTGCAAAGCTTGCAAAAAATTTAAAATCATTTTTCTGCGGATTATTAGACCTTACTGTTGGAAATTTTATGGAAGCATTTCCCATAGAGAGTATGAAAAGATGTAATAGGATTAAGATTAAAATGTATGCGAGGATTAGTAGAAATTTATTGCTGCTGCCTAAAGGAATATCTCGTTTTGTTTTACCTCGTTTTAACTGCAGACATTTTCTTGGATCTATTTTGTCGGGAAAATTTTGTACAAAATATAAAATATAAACGCGACAGAAACGAGTAAGGATTAATACCCATATTTTGTAATGAGGCTGACATCGAAATGGGGGTCAGTGGATTTACGACATCCTCTGATTTCACCTCTCAATTATTTATCGTCGCTATTGAATACACCGCATGATAAATTGAAACAACGGGGTGAATTCACTGTGATTTAGATGCCAGGCAGTATGTAATTATTACGGCGAGCGTAAGTAGAACGAGCACGCGTACGGTCAGGCCTCGCGAAAGAATAACAAAGTATTTCCATCTGTCACCATCCAGAGGGAAAGTATCCGGTGATGAAATCGTCTCGAGTAGAATATTCAAAGGCGATGAAAAATGGATACGACGAAAAGAAAAGTTCTTGCTGTTAAAGTTGAGAAAAAAGGAAAAGGGAAGGAAAGGAAGTGAGATGAGCAGGTAAGTGATGGTCTTACACGAGGTATTCACGGTAAACCAAGCACGTTGTTACGGGTCCCGGCAATTTTTCACGAACAAGATAAACGAGTATTGGTGAAGCGCGTCAGATTTGCAATAAATTAATCTTGGATCATCGTGTTAGTTACTGTCCACGGTAGTGTGCTTCCTGATAAATCAAATCGTTGAACCGATGCACGTTTCTTCGAGGTGGAAAATTTTTCACCGACCTGTATTCATATTTTATCACGTACCCGTTTGTGTTACACACTCAGAATGTACCTTGGAATATTGTATATAGAATAACTCTGAATCGAAGAACGAAGAGGTACGATGGAAGATGTTCCGGTAAACATATGTGTACCGAAAGAAGGAAAATATATCAAAATCGAGGAAGGATCATTTTTTCGTATTGCAGAAAATTCGTGGTTCATTTCGTACGTGTACGTTTCCATAGAGGGAAGGTAATTAATCAGAGTGACGTTTGCACATCGAGAATTTAATATGGAAAGTAGGTCGAGCGGCCTCTTAAGATACGGTAATCAGAACTTCCATCGAAACATCCTTCGACATTTTCCCCCTTCGGTTTTGATCAGCATCGGAATCAGCATTCCCCTTCCGAATATTCCTTCCCCGTACCATCTATGCAGATTAACGTCAGCCACAACATTCCAGGACGTTGCATTAATCAGCCCTAGTCAAATGATCCAGGTCCTTTGCCTTGCGACCTGTGTGGCCATCTTGGGATATCTTGTATCACGTTCCATGAATTTTAGACAGACTTTTAAACGGTGCTCCACACAATTTAGTGTTAAGCACATACTTTCCAGTGTACCTTGAAAATTTTCACAAAATTTGCCTGTATCAAAATTAATTAAATAGGTTTTCTACCTAATTAATAAAATTAGGTAGAAAAATTTTATTCTGTACTATTACACTAAATAAAATTTTCTAAATATAGGTTTCATTGCTTAAAAAGTAACTCGACTACTTTCACGATACGAGTTTCGAGAGAAGCTTTCATTTCACAGGAAAAGTAAAACATTTTGCGAGCAATAATCTGAGCAGATTCTAGCGTGGACATTTCTCAAAAATAATACGCGAGGCAAAAGTTCACGTGAGACAGGGAAAGTTACGACTGGGGCCTCGACAAGGGCAGACGCAAGGGAAACGAACAGTCATTTCTCAGACGTACATATATTACAGGGAAGAGGATGAGTATTACATTTGACCGTAGCTTGTGACACGCGTGTCGCTTCGGTACTCGTTTCCAAGCTATACTGCTGCTTCGCAATAGCTTTGAAACACACGAGGTAGAGGAAAAACAGTGACATTTTTATATTGTAGAAAAAAAACTGTACGATCTTCTTTCGTGCGATATTTTCAACGGTATTGTGGGCTTTGCAATTAATTTAATGGAATAACTATGTACACGACCCGATGCTCAGATATTCGCCAAATGTTTTATCATATAAGGTCCGTGATAATTCCATATTCCGTGAGTCCCGAGTGAAAAATAAGACGGTTTTCGATGCCTCCGGCGCACTACACATTTATCTCTGAGGAAAAAAATCGAGGACACTTTTTTGCTTGTAAAAACATCGTCATAAATTCGGAGCGAACTTTTTTTTCTTGTACTCGAGCTTTTTCATCTGCAAAGTGATCGAATATTTAACAGTCGATTCTCAACCTGGCAAACATAATTTTCCTTTATTTTATTTACGAGAGCTTCAGCTCACTAAATAATGTTTTCTCTCCAGTGAAAAATATTCTCATATTTCCTATTTACATACACATATATTGTTGAACTGGATGTATTCTTGTGGAATAAATCGAGAAGAAAAGAGACAAGATTGGAAACACGTACAATGGAATTTTGTGCACTTTCCTCTTCCCTAATAGTTTACACACCCGTGTATCGGACACCGACCTAGTTTCGTACATATTGGTAGCCCGCATGGGAAAAATATGCGGCTCGTTTTTCAAAAGAATCGCCAAGCGTTTTTTTAACACGCCCCTTCTGGCGCGACCAGGTGATTTCGTATTGCTCTCTTCCCCACCCGCTGCGTGCGTATATCTGTTCTTTTTTTTTTCGTCCAATCGACCGCGTGTTTTTAGCCTTTATTCGTTCCACCGAAACGTTTAATTTCCGGAATCTATTACAACACGTTTCGCTGTGCAACTTCTTTAGGTTCCGTTGTGTTTGCAATCTATTAACACACAGTGTCGGGCGATTGTTTGAGTGGGATGAGGGGAAATACGATCTGTATCAGCTAAATCTTGTGGTTTTACCGAAGATGCAAAAAAGCTTGGAGAATCGAGGGAAAGATGAGAACAGTAAAAATTCGTTCTCAGGGAAAACAGTTCCCGGTCGTTTGAAATGCAGCTCGCGGTTGCTGCGACTGGGAAATAAGAATTCGCCTAAAAGCTACTTTGTGCACTCCGTTGTCACCGTTATCTTCGACGACGGATTGCTCTAGTTTCCTTTTCTACATTCGTATAATTCTGTACATTCACTTTTCTTCACCACTTTTCCATTCATTCTTCCCTTGAATACTCTCAAGATTTTACCTGCCTCTGGCTGACTTACACGTGGCGGCACAGAACCGTGCAATTTCCACTTTCTCTTGAACTTCTATTCTAAAGCTTCCTCTCTCCGCAAGTTTCATTCTATCTCTGTTTTCCACATTTTCACACTTTATATACGATTTCTCACAGAATACAGTCCTTAAGTTACCGGTCGATGTTATAAATATTTATTGTTGGAAATAAAATGAAATTAAGCGCGAGACCACCTTACAGGTATTATGTTGCAGTTCCACGTTGAAATTACAATGGAAGCACGTGTAAGTTCATTCTACTTGCACTCCTTTGTAGCTCGGCCATTCCTCGTGCGCGCCCTCGCACATTCATTCTAAGATCCACGTGGACCATTTGCCACGTATCAAACTTCGACCGCTGTCGAAAGTTCATTCAAATATGTACCTACTGGAATTTTGACAATCTC